TCTCATTATCTATGTGATCCCCTGTCGCCATCACATTCCGCAAGGGCATCTCTGTAGAAAGCCTAGCTGTTCTGATGATGACTATAGACCGCTACTCCAATGAATGTGCACTTCTAGGAACTTTTCCGCTCGACGTCTCTTTGCTTCCACCGTGCTCCAGCAAATTATTGCTCTGTAATAGGATTTTGGCGAGATCCATCACCGGTGTTGAACGCCGAGTTGCCCACTCGAGACTACGGCCTACCACGTTGACGAGTCCCCAACATGGCAACACTTGCGTCACCATTGTCTTGTGGAGGCTGATCCTGTTGCGGAGGAACTGGAAGCTTTCCTCGCCTAATTGATGCAAACGTTGAATTTTTGCATAAGGATCCAGGCATTTTTGAGCTGGAACTGCTTCTGCACGTTCTTTCTCGGCGACTAGGCACTTCCTTCCTCGGCAGCTGTCGTACTAGCCTCAACTATGCCTTGTAAATCTGATTTCTCCAAGGGCAATTCCGCTTCGTGCGCGTGAACAAAAGAGAAGACGCAGGGGGAAAAAAAAATGGTCTAGAGTGGCCCGCAAAAAAAAACAAACTTCTCATTTGTTTCCCCACCATCGCATGGAAGCGGCTGCCACTCCCTGGCGATTCTGGCGAAAGCATAAACGACATTTTATCTCGTGACATTTTTGCAACTTTTATTCTTTCAACTTCTTCAACAAAATAGGAGATTTTTCACCCTCCCAATGTTTTCGTAATGTGACAAGGTCAGCAATCATGGGATGAATTGTTTCCATGCGACAAAGTCCGCTTTTTCTTCATTTTTTCTTTGCTCTGCCGCTTCCTTAGTGGTCCTTCTGCGAAAACGATCAGCCATGACCAAGCTGTATCGAATGCTACCTCTGTACTATCATGGCGACAGATTTTGATTAGATGAACTTCACGACCAATAAAACAACAGGATGCCCGTAAGAGTGCAAACTTAGAGTAAGCTGCCCACTCAAAAATCACTTCCTGAACAGCACTTAGCTTCTCGCGACTCGCTTCGATTCCCTCGGGGATAAAAAGTTTTCGATTTTCTGAGGCGCGCACGAGTATTTTACGCGAACTTGTGGAGCCTCTCATTTCCCACGATCTCCCAAATGCGACTGAGTTCTAAGCATTAATATCATAATTAATTGGTTAGAAAACGTCCCAAAAAACACTTACGTTTTCAGAAAAATATTCATTGTCGCGGTAAAGGTGTGATTTACGCTTCATTTCTCCATCAGTTTCTTTTGAAATTGTTCTTCTGATATGCTTTTACGTAATTTTTCTCTGCCACCTGCTTTAAATTCCGAGTTTCCATTGAAATATTGAAAATCGAGCGAGTTTCAAACGTCAGCAACTTTTGCTGCCCGTACGCTTATTGTGCACCTCTAAACTAAACTAGATTGAAGACTACGAAATGTCATTCCCTTAATTCATTGTTAACAAAATCAGAAGCTATTAATGTGAAGCAACGATTAAACAGAAACAATCACTTCACTCGTAAAGTACATGGCACGAACCCGCGGAGCTTAGGCAGTTGCGCACGGTTGATTAGACATTTCTAAAAAATTACCCAAGGATGCAAATGAAGAAGTTCCAGGAAAAGTGCTAGGATGCTCGGATGCCTATAAGCTTCTATTTTTGATGGAAGTATCTCAGAGTGTTGTAGCACAACTATTAGTTATTCCCACTATCCTGTCCGGCTGTCAGCGACGGCTCTCCGAATTCGCTTCGACTCTTTGCTAGTCCTAGCAGACGCTAAAAAACTTGCCCTTTGGCCAGCCGGCACATCGATTTTGGTCACTCTTCTCGTTCTTTCAATACTCCTTAAGGAACTGTGTATAATCGACTAGGCATTGTCAAAAATCGTAGAGATATGCCCAGCTTTAACATGTGTCAAAAGGAAACCCCCGGCGATACTCGTTAAACGCTGAGGTTGGCTATTTTGGAAAAAATCCAAATATTAAGTTTCAAGGCTCCTCTGAGCTGGTTTTTATTGGCTACAGGGAACCCGTGCTACGTCATGCACCTGCGTGATGCAGACATTAATTTTTTCCTTTTTGGTACATTTCTATGGTTAGTCTTACCCCAAAGTTTCATCGGAGTATGTCGCAGTGGCTCCTACCTGATCGTATGTATCAAGGACTTGAAGATGTTGGAAAAATTGCCGCTTCTTGCAGTGAGCAGGAATAGACGCAACCCAAAGGAATAGGCAAGTAAGAATCTTGTCTATACCTCAATAGCCAGTGTGACTCTTCAAGTTCGCAAAGCGTCTATGTTCTATTTAAGGTCTATCTGAAGATATTTTGGCTCGATGTTTCCTATCTTAACCACGGGCGTGTCAGGCTGGAAGCTATGTTTGCGTTGGCGCAATAGCTCAGTGTATAGCCTACTTTCATACTAGGCTCTTTTTTTGGCATAAGGCACGCTGATTTAGTGCTCGGTCTAAAATGGTAGCAGTGGTGCTATATAGTGAGAAAATGACAAAAATAAGAGAAGTTAAATGACCAAAAAGCGACAAAATTGAATTTGCTGGCGTTGGACGAACATTTTCGGACGAGTTTTCCCGTGGCGTCGTTCCAACAACTGTTTTGATAGAGATGCTAACACTTATGTTTTAGATTCACTAAGTCCATATGGGAACGCTTCAATTGCACTTCATATCATATGCAGCAGAAGAGACCAAGCCGTGACTTGCCCTGCCATTTGTGGGCGGGCGGTGCGGTGGTCGCCACCTTGCTGGGCGCAGTAACTGTCCCCTTTGTGGGGAATGGCGCCAGAGCCTGAGCCTGGCGGGGTGGGGGGGGGAGTAATATGCTTTCGTGCTAGGCGTATCAATCCTGTACGCCTTGTCCGCTTTATTATACCACATGCGCGTTTAACCATCTTTGCAGTGGACGCCCATGTTTTTCGGAGACAAGCACACAACCAGGAGGTATTGTTTTCGGTACGATGATAGTAAATTTTTTCCCTATTGCTGATTGATTACTTGGCATCGCGCGCCATACCCCCTCAACTGCTAGTCGGCGGTGCTAAAATCGTGCTACACCTGATGCTTGACCCGAGGAGAGGATGCTCCTTTCGCCCTTTCTGAATCCGTGACGAACTTCTAGGAAACAAGTGGAAGGTAGGTTGTCAAAGAAGTTCCCTCCGAGGTTAAAGTTTGAGTGCGTTCGCTGGAAATCCGACACTAGTCAGGAAGCAAGTTGAGGAAGACCTTAGGGCTCTCAGGTGCAGTGTTGAGCATGCTAGACGTATTGCTGCTAATCGACCAGAATGGAGACACTTCATTCAGGGCGTTCGTACTCCAATGGCACCCACAGCAGTGTACTGGTTGAGAGGCCGGCCCCCACCACCAGACGCAAGCTAAGGGATAAGTAAGTAAAGTAAGTAAGTAAGTGGAAGCACCTTTAACTCCAAATAGCAATATACTCATGCGCCCTGAAAGCCTTTGTGTTCTAGAGAGGAACAACGTATGGGGTCACGAAATGTTTATAATAAGTAGTGGCCCTCCTACTCACATTCAGCTATGACGTAGCGCCTCTAACCATCGAGCCAACCTCAAATTCGACTACGCCTCTGATCCATGAGTGGTAGCGAAATTACAAATGAATGTCGTTTTTTTGCTGTGCCTAAGAATGCGGAACAAGTTTTCGCTCGATACTCCGCCGCCCGAGATTCTCGTCTTCAGGCTCGGCTCCATTCTCAGAAGAGGCAGGGATCTGGATTTTCAGAGGTGCACACGAGGATTTCGCGTGAACCTGTGGTATCTGCCCTTTACAAGTGCAGCACTTTGAATACCACTACCCTATTTTGTGCTGTATAAGCGCAGCCAAGTATAGGGCGCAATTCTGCCTCCGTGCTGCAAATATTCCCTTATCGCTCAGTTTTTGCCTTTCTTTGCTCATATGAGAGGGAAACTGTTCCTCATCCCAAGAACTTTTAGCTCGCGTTCTCGCGTGCGCCTCTGCGTAATGCATCTCAGACCCCAAAAAATAGTCTATGTTGGCTCTCATCGCTTATAGCCATGCTATATAGGATATTCAATTGCCGTACATACCCATCAATGTCTGGCGTAATTGTCTTATTCATAAAGTCCATGAGCCTATAGAGCTCCAGCTCTCACAATAGCCTCGTCAGCAAGGGAATCGATGCAAGGCGGTTTGCTGAATCCGTTCTACTTCGCTTTTATGCCATTTCGATACTTACAACCTTGATATTGCATTTTTAGATGATTGATTTTGACGTTTCCTGAATTATCGGGGCAAATATAGCCCAAATTTGTTCCACAAAAAGGAGACTACGGAGGCTAAGGGGATTGTTTCGACGGCTCATCGTGGAATGTACCTTTGAGCGGATGCTACATATCAAGACGACAGGAAATTAAACCATGCCTTCGGGAAGAAGAGCGCGAAGTAATCGACGACCGTTTCCATGATTCTGGGAAGAACAATTTATTCATGTCAGACAGAATGAGGGGCAGCTGTTAGAAATGAAGGAGCTGCGGCAGTGTTCTTGCACGTGTTCGTTTTGGTTATGTAGACCATAATCGAGGCCTTACTTCGTGTAAAAAAGAAGGTCGGAGTTCATAAAGTACATAATGGCTTCTGTTCTTTTGTTCGATGGACGGCCCTTGTTTTTACTTCTGCTTGTCTGCTCCAAGAATCTTCCAATGAAAAGTTGGAATGTTAGGGAATGTGAGGAAGAGTGCAGAGAAAGTACTCAACAACATCCTATCCCTCCGGGACACCTCAATCATCTAACTTCCACGCAGAATCGTAAATACATATGGTTGACAACAAAATGAAGAGAAGCACTACCAACCCTTCACAACCCCATTATTTCGAGATTTGAGTCAAAATCTTGATATCCACGTCGCTTGCCTTCACCCATAAATTCACATTTTGACCATTCTCGCCCTTTAATCGTGGAATTTATCGTTGAAAATACACTTGAATAGCCGACATTATCAAGCTCCTGATGAATGTAATGTATGGTAATATAATAATGATCATACCCGTTGCAGGCATACGCCGTGAAATGATGATGCTTCGGATAAAGAATGGTCAAATGTAAGTTGTTCATCGGAGCATAGTTCCCTATTTTGTCATCCGACTTCACATGCAACATTTCTCTCTAATTTGCAGTACTGTATCTGGCTTACTGTAACACTTTCATGCGAAGCCATGGTACGAATTTCACTCACGCGGCGCCAATGAACCGACCACCTGACGCACACATATACAGCCGCGGAAAAAAAACTTGGAACATGCTCTGAAAAAGCATTTTCCATCTGTTCTAAGCTATCTATCCTCTTCCTAAACACCAGTATTAGGGTCAGAAGCTAGGAATATAATGTTGTAACGCAATAATTTTGAAATCTTGGCTGGGCGGAGGTGGTGTAGTGGCAAGTGGCGCCCCTAACCACGTGCGTGGTCTGCTGTTCAAATTCCGGATAGGCTTTCCATTCATTCCTTTCCTTTCCTACCTTTCCTTTCCAAGCCGAGCTTTCTGTACCTACGGAGAATGCTAATTGGTAGTAGACTCGTCCAAGGGGATAAACACGTCGACTTCTCCATTGGCAGCCCTCCATCCAATATCAAAGTTGCAGCGGCGTGCCCGCTGTCTTCTTCAAAATTCTGTCCCTGCAGTGACTTGAACCAACTAACTGATTTTTAAAATCGCTTTTTTGGGCTTGCCTGATCTGGGCAAACAAAGGTTTCATGTGCAGCTTGAGAATAGTAGGTAAAACTATTGGGAAGCGCGCGACCCTGGCTTGTTCTAAGTTTCCCTCATGCGGCTGTAACATTAACGAGCGCTGTTGGGCTTAGAGGGAGCATTTTGCGCTTGGTTATTGCTTTTGGAAGTTCATGTATAATGAAAAGTCTCATTTTGGTGAAACCTGCGGACCCCTGTGAAGCTGCGAAATAGTGCCCGCTCCGATCACAAGAGTTTACAGGTTTTCACAAGGTGGCCTGGAGAACCGTAGCTTGGTACCATTTGTGCCCCCACCAAGCCGAACTGCGCCTACCGACTACTTAGTTGATTTTATAAGTGAAATACGGTGCGGGGTAGAAATAGTAAACGTTTTGCCTGAACCTGCTAGCAACTTTTTTACCTTCTGCTTTTTCAAAATCAGTTTTGGGATTGCTTACAGCACTCGCACCCACTTACTAGTTGGTGATTGACTCACTCTATTTCGAAATTCAGCTTCACGATTTGTCGACGTCGACTGTCACTGTCCCCGGTACAACGACGAGAAGAAATCGACTACAACGATCCGAAGCAAGTGGCACTTCATAAGCTTTATCGGCCTGAAAGGGTGACACCAAAGGAAAAAGGCTACGATCTACTGAAAAATGCTAGGTTAAATAAGGTAAGCTAAGAGAGAAAAGTTTTTTGTGTTTTTTAAGTAAACAGCAGTTTCAAGCCAACTTATTACATTTTTCTATTTATCAGCTGCAAAAGTGAACGGACTGCTTTTTAAGGGAATGGCGTTCTCCCTCTACGAACGGCATTATCTTGGAATTCACGGTCTCCTCCCGCCGGCATTCATGACGGAAGAACAGCAAGCCTACCGTGTTATGACGAAACTTCGAGAAACAAACGACAATCTATCCAAGTGAGCGGCTACGGCCTGGCAAGAATCATTTTTTTCGCATTTTTTTGTCAGAAGTATTATATTGATCGTGTCAAAGGGCTGGGCTAGGCGCGATTTCCATCCATTGTTGTCGCATGCCCGGTTCAACAATCGGCTAAGAACGAGCTGGCATAGCGCCACACCCAGCCTCCTGACACACCACAGCGCCTCCATTGAAAACGACTTTAACCTCTGTACAGCTCCGCTAGTGCTCTACCATCAAGGGAGTTTCATCCGCGCCATTTTCGCTGTAGTACTTTTATTTCAGGTATATACAACTGGACGAGTTACAAGACCGCACTGAGAAACTCTATTATCGGGTTCTTTGTGACAATGTCAAAGAGCTGATGCCAATAGTATACACACCAACTGTTGGGCTGGCTTGCCAAAAATTCGGAGCTATCTATCGTCATCCGAAGTGGGTCAAAACTCTTTTCTCGTTTGCGTTATCTTTGCTTTGCATGGGCGCTACTGTAGTCGAGACGGGAGGGAGGCGTGGGGCGATGCACTGACAAGGGAGGTCGTTCAGGGCGTGGTGCGCTTTTCGAAAACGGTTTTTTGCATATTGTAGGGGCTCATGCAAGGACCTGAAAAGTGTGCTTCATTTTCGCTGCGCGCTTCCAGGAAAGGTAAAAAACGAGTGAAAAGAAATCTGTGGAATCTGCTTCGTTCTGGGCCTCTATGCGGCGTAGGTCACTTGCAACTTTGACCAGTTGCTGAGTGGGGGTCCTTATAAAGGGGCCGTTTGAATCGAAGCGAAAAATCGCCGTAAGTGAGCTTCCAACTTGGGTCATGTGCTCAAGGGTGAACGGCTTCTTGCAATGGTTTCATCAACGATAAGAGCGCTAGCAAAGCGAGCACGGATGGTCTGGGGATAAGAGTGAGGTTTCGCAATCGGACAGTGAGGGTGGGGTTGATGGTTCGGCTCCCCTTGCGTCGTGGCTTTTTGCATTTTTTAGATTTCGCTGTTCTCGCTTCAGTTGTGTCTGCGCATGAATATAACTCGGATATTTTTCCATTTATGGGCACATTCTGAGTAGCTGTACCTCATGAGTCAGTGCTATTAAAGTATTTCGATTTTCACGCACCATTGAACAAGATTGTTGCTGGACGTTGATCCTCATAGGCTATACAGTGGATCTGATTGCGAATTTAGTAACTTCTGGTGTGGTGTCAATTATAGACATGCCACATTCCTTTCCACTAATTCGTTACGTACACCAATGTAGGGGAACGTTTCACCCGCTATTTCTGGCCGCCAAAAGAAAAAAAAAAGTGCCTGGAAAGACGCAGACATGGTGTTACTTTGTGATCAGGGCCACTGATTACAAAAACGAATTTTCAGTCAAAACAATTGTTTTGACCTTCTTGGGTTTGCTTATTGGGTTGTCCGGTGTCCGTAGCGTCAACGATACGCATCGCTGTTACGAAGATGTGAAGCTCCGCTCACACTGCCGACCAAATGGTCGGCCCAACAACCGAAAAGTCAAGAAAAAATTTTTCGCTCCAAAACTTGCTCCTAGGGGTAATCGACAGTCCTGATCACGATTCTAGACTTATGTCGGTCAGCTGCATCTGGCACCGGCATAGTGCCGAAGAGCTGAGTCTGTGCATATTAACGAATTCGAACGAAAAAGCAGTTTTGCTCCATAAAAGTAGGATTGTTCAGTTCATCGTGAATGTTTTTATTAGGACCAATTATTTAGACAAACATGGATCCAAAAAATGAAAAATTGTAGAAAAGCAAAATTTTGTCCTCGGTGGGATCCGAACCATCGACCTATTTTTTACGTTTTTCTTTATTCGTAGAAGCGCGCAGCGAAAACGAAACTCAGTTTTCTGGTCCTCGTATGTGCCCCTACAATATGCACAAGACCATTTTGAAAAAGCTCACCACGCCCTGAACGACCTCCCTTGTAGTGGGGCTGCTCCCGACGATTAGCCCTTGGAATGCCCCGAGACCAGCGAGAAAATCCAAGAAAGCTTAATACTTCTCCCAAAAAAAAACGAAAAGGGGGGGGGAGGGGGGCGGAAGGGGCTACTGCTTGCCCACATTTCCAAGCGTTGTGGCCATGCTTAAGATCTTGGGTCGGAACGAAAAATCTCAGTGTATTATTTATTTGTTCCGCGGCGCGGAGGCGCGACAAAAATAGCGCGAATTCTCGCCTTCTAGTTCATATAAGGATAGGTATACACAACCAGACGAATTAAGCCCTATCCTCTTCACCTATGCGCCTTCATGTAGCCACTTGCGATCTAAAATCCTTGAGCCCTGGCATCGGCTATTAAAGATTCTAAGCGTCGCTAGACACTTTTTGGAGCGCAGGGCCCAAGTACAAGGCTTTGCACGTCGTTCGGGGTAGGAAAAGGGATACGTTCGTTTCCTTCACAAGGGGCAGTCTTAGGAAAGCGCAGACGACTTGGTTCCGCAAGGACTTATGTCGCAGAGCAGACGTGGACGCGCTGATACCTCGCAACCATACTTCCTCTCTGCGAACTATGTTAATGTCAAGATTCTTACAGTACACCTGGAAAGTGTGATAAATAGCATCATCATTTATTCCACTGTAATCTATTCTGTTTCTTATAGGGGCCTATATATCACCATAAATGACAACAGCATTAGTAAAATCCATCAAATCCTCTGCAACTGGCCAGTGTCAAATGTCCAGGTAATATATTTGCTCAGATTGTACTTCGGACCAAAGAAGATTCCCTCAAATTATCCATGCTTTCAGGCTATCGTAGTGACAGATGGCGAGCGTATCCTCGGACTTGGGGACCTTGGTGCGTACGGAATGGGTATTCCAGTAGGGAAACTGGCTCTGTATGTCGCTTTGGCAGGAATTCAACCACAGTGGTGCTTGCCGGTTGTCATCGATGTAGGCACTGATAACCAGGTATGTCATGCTTGCCGCCAGTGGATAAAAGGTTTTAATTTCAATTATTTATATGTGAGAACGAAGTTGAAATCACCAAACAACTGAAATATTCTCAGAAACTGCTTGACGACCCGTTCTACATTGGATTACGACGTCGACGTGTCCGAGGCCCAGAATATGAGTTGCTTCTGGATAACTTCATGAAAGCCGCTACAAAAAGGTAGAGAATCAACTACGCTGTTCGTATGGGCGGAGACAACCACTAATTTATGAGCCCCTTCGAGAAGTGAACGACGATAGTGCAGTGGATGGCTCTCTTGATCAGGATGGGCTGAGCCTTGATGTGCTTCTTCGAGCCTCTTGTAGAATGAGCCGTGCAATCGGCTACCAACCTGAATCCCAAAAGGTTTCCTCCTGGCTGTAGCTGGAATCGCTCTCTCCCTCGCTAAAAACAAAGAGGCGACACAAAATAATTGAGGCTGGCCTCTTCCTTTTCTTTCTTCCTCTGGGACCACGCTCTACAGCACTGGATTAAAAGGGATGGGGAAATTCATTGACTTGATGGATTCCTATAATCGTAACAGCAGAAAATGAGGTTCTTCCTGCTTTGCCAAGTTTCCTGCCTGCAATATGGGTTAGGAGGTTTGCGCTGCAGTTTTGCGGTGAAAGCAGCAATTTTACTGGTGGTCTGGGGTAGAGAGTGTAGGGTGTGTTCGCTCTCTTCACAAAGATATGTAGTATGGGACAAAAGACCAGATTCCGCAAGAACTAGTGCCACAAAGCAGGAATAGATACTGCCATGCCTTCCTTCTTAGGAACTATGGTTTTATCATTAAGATTTGGGAGGGACACTCTGATCCAGTTCGAAGATTTCGCCTTCGAGAACGCCTTCATGCTTCTGGACCGTTACAAGAACGAGTACTGTGTCTTCAACGACGACATCCAGGGTAGTGATAACATTTTGCACTTTCCTTGAATAAGAGGATACACTAATGGGTGTCATATTCCAAGTGGCGTCTGATTTCAGGAACAGCAGCAGTAGTTGTGGCCGGACTATTAGCCACAACACGAGTAACCGGCAAGAAACTCTCCGAGCAGAAGTTGGTCTTCCTTGGAGCCGGAGCGGTACGTTTCTCTTTTTGACCCATTACATATTTCAGGAAGAGTGCATTCGGCACTTTTTACCAAACCTCCGAATAGTTAATGCTGTTGCATTGTTCTATTGA